TAAAAAAAAACGTTAGTTTTTTTTTCAATTTGGCGGGGCATAGCGTGGCAGGGGTTGTTCGGATAAATCCAAAAACCAGAACAAATATTATACGATTTATGCTGTTTTGATTAAAAAAATAAAATTCCAACCGGTGTAAAAGTATTGGCTTTCCTATATAAAACAGTATTCTTTTACTGTCCTACTTTTTACATAAACAAATAATCAGGCCAATTCACTAACATGAATCGTTAACTTTAGCCACTAGAATTGGTGGTTATTGTTATATTCAATCCACCTAATTGGCCGGATTGGTCTATAACCACTGATTCTAGTGCACCATGGTTAACGTTAACGACTCTTGTTGGCAACATCATGTTACTAACATGTGGTTTATTTTATTTTAAATCAGTCGTCAAATAAATAACAATAATTTGTATTACATTTTAAAGGTTTTGTTTGGTTTAACGTCAGTAAGGTAGCCTTAAGTCAGGAATTGCAAAATGAACATGTATTATAAAAACTCAGAAATTTTAATATTATGCTTTCTTTTTTACAACCCAAGCAATATTTGTACCATTTATTTGTTTAACATGAAATTATTAAAGATAAACTATTAATTAACCTTAAAAATACAATTAAATAACTTAATTTAAGTAATTTCAAATTTCAGACATACAGCGTTGCTAAGTGTAAAAAAATAGTTTTTGATTAAAAAGTAATTAAAAATATTATGCACCCTTGCAAATTGTATTTTAAAGTCTAGTACACGTTTTTATAAAGAATGACTTTTTATTTTAAAACCACAAATAATTTTTTTTCTGTTCTGAACTGGAATTATTAAATAAATAATTTAATTTAAACTATACCAAACTACAACTGCAACTATTTCAACTATACTAAACTACACCAAAATTAAGGTAATTAAGTAACATTAACCAATAACAAGGATTATTTTAATTTAATTATACATTCATTAAAAAGTTTTTTTATTAAATATAAACATAATTTCGTTATTTAAAAAAGGTACTCGTTATAGAAAATGTCATTCAGTCGGTTATAGAGATTTTGTTTTAAAAACTTTTAGTTCAGACTTCTTGGGATACCATATTTATAAATTCATACAAAACTAAACAATATTAAACTGGGTTTTTCCCTTTTCCACATTTATGACTTTTACCTTTTATACTATTTATTTTTTCCCTACAATGTTTCTTGACAAAATACATACTTTATAAACTTAGGGACAAGAAAAATAAATACTTTATCAGAAATATTACGTTATTAAAAGAAAAAAAATTAGTATTTGTTAAACAATATCAACTAGATTTCGGGGATAAATCAAACGATATTGGATATTTTTTTATAAATAACAAACTATTTTAAATTTTGCCAAATATTGTCCCCTATTAGTACGGTACAATTATAACAATGTTAAAATTTTTTAAATACACTGCAGATTTTTTTATATAAAGGGTTTTTCATTTAGAGCGTCAGAACTTTTAAATGAGATAAAAAAATAACTACATGTTATAATCCCGTAATCTATATTTTATTTTGAAGAACGATCGATGACATTATGTTTTAAATATAATATCGTTTAAATGTCCCCCTCGACTTTGCCTGACTGAATGCATTATGAAGGCCTAATTTCTACTATTCTTTTACAAATATCGCGTGGTATACTTTGAATAGTGCGTTTAATGTTTCGTTTAAGGTCGAGAATTGTTCGTGGCTTATTGTTGTAAACCTGAGATTTCACATGATCCTTTAGATGCACAAAAGTTGACTTATTTGCCAGTAAACCAGTTTTTTCTTAAACGATAAACCTTATATTTCTCGCAACTTGCAAAATGTTTGGCAAACCGAACATGCATTTTGATGGTAAATACGAATTATTTCTAAGCGCTGTTAAATTGTTATCTGTCCATATTAATTTGACACAATGTTCTGAACACATGTGTTGTCAAGATTTGACATTTAAATTCCAGAGCAGCCTTTAGGGTTAAAGTTAGGACGCTTTAAATGGAAAACCCTTTATAATTTTTTTTATATACGTATATTGTGCCAAAAAATATTCCTTTATTATTTGACATAAAATTTCCCGTAGAAATAATTAAAAATTAGTTATACCGTATTATAAATATTTAAATTAAACTTATTATAAAGGACAATGGTTAATTTAATTTAATCGTTTTATTCTTGTAGCCAACAACAAAATTGTGTTAGCCTTAAATGTCTCATAAAATCAACACAAATATTATATGTAATACACCTAAAAACACACGAATATTCCATTCCTTATACAAATTATAGAAAACTTCTAATTTTAATCAGTTTTTTTGTGAAATACTAAATTTTAAATATTTATTTTAAAATTGTATCAGGCATTAGTCTATTTGTCGCAAAAGGATGTCTTAGCACTTTTTTACTTTTGTTTATACTAGTAATTTATGAGTACCATATGATAAACTATTTAATGTTTAAAAATGCAATATAAACCTAATTTTAATAAAATAAACATGATAAGAGTGGGGAAGATTTAGTTAGTTACTTAATGTTCAAATAGAAAAGCTTCCAGTTTACTTGTTTCATTCATAATTTCATTAAGAGGTACCAGGCACCAGTACCGGTAACAATGTCTTATCTGTCAATAAAATAAAGGTTTCCTCGCACGCGCCGTGTGACAAAAACCCAAATATGTACGAACTTGAGTCAAAAATTATGAAAGTGGAGCAGTTTTTGAGATATTGTAAATTCCATATTAAATGGAAAATTGACTATATCTTAAAAACTGTTCTACTTTTTTAACTTTTGACGGTATTTTCGGATACAGAGGACAATTTTACATAAGAATTGGCTGTTAAATTTTGGGATACCATGGTTTACCATGGTACAAGTGAAAAAACATAATAACTATTAAATTAGTAATTTTTAACTAATTCAATTTTAGAGAGTAGCAAAATGTTGAAACAAAAAACTTAACTTAACTTGAAAAAACGGATTGCACCACTGAATTCTACACACAAAAATTCAGTTTTAAATGTCCCGGCGTTTTTTGTGTCTTTTTAGTATTTCTAAAAATAATAAACCAAAAAATTTACAAACTTAAATAATTAATATCTTTAGAAAACTGATTACACTACTGAATTCTACACCCAAAAATTAGGTTTACGTGTCCCGGCGTTTTTATCTGTCTTTTCAAAAGTTTGAAATTTACCTACTTTAACATATTATTATTACCGAGATTATTACCTACCAACCAATATTTATGTGATTACACGACTTGGCTACGGGCTCTTCGTGCGAATTTTCACATGCGTGGGTTAATAATATCCATATCCTACTTGTTACGTAAATAACTATTATTTGCCATGAACAATATTAATTAGCGTTAAAGTTAGTATTGGTCTCTTGGTTTATTTATTTTATTCCACGAATTTTTTTTAAATTTCAAAAATAATGATTTCAAAGATATTTGTACACAAAAAAGATATATTTGTAAAAAATAATTGGGCTAATAGTTTGTGAGATTCCAAGCAAATATCTTTTAACTCTACATGAAAAATAAACTATAGGTAATAATTAATTTAATCAACATTTATCAACATAATTTATAATTTATCAACATAATCCTATTTTATTGATCGAGTTTGAAAACGAATTTTTAAAATAACCTATGGAACATCTGCGGTAAATAACGCTTTTGCACATAGATTCTTTCAAACATTCGATTTTAAACTCCAGCAACAAAGGATCATGTTGATGACTTGAAAATAGATTATTATAGTTTATTTTTTATTAAAATCTAAAAAAATTGTATCCCTTTTTAGAATTATCATTTTAAATTTCGTGCAACCAACTTAAAAAACACAAAAATATGACTTTATTATATATATATATATATATATTACTTTGTATGTTGTTAGTTTTTAATGTTATAATGATAATTTTATTAATAATAAAGTATTAATTTGTTAATTAAAATAGAACGTTTTATTTTTACTACATTGGCACCTGCTTTCACGGCCTACTGTTATTTATTTAGCATACTCTTCAAATGAAGATACTACCTTAAGGTCATTTTTGAGAGAAATTTTTAGCGACCATCTTTAATATTACTAATTTGACAAATTAATTCTGGAGATTTTCTGTGGTCATGCTTATTTTATCGACATTCAAAATAACTAATTATCACTAATAGTCATATTTGATTAATTGCCATAGCGAAAAAGCAGTCACTAATAATTAGTCAAATTCTACTGAATGAAATAGTCAAATTAGTAGATTTAAATTTAAAAAAGCTTTGACCCAGCCGGGGATTGAACTCAGGTCTGTCACTTGTCAAGCTTTTGTCATAACCCATTCGGCCATCAGCCGCTCTTATAAAAATAAATTTTATTTGTTAATAAATATTGTTAATAATATTTTAAAGTTGAATATATTATTTGTGTTGCTGTTTTGAGCTAAACTTTTTGCATCTTTATTTGTTTTTATGGGTCATTTAACCATGAAGCTTATAAGCTACCTATAGGTATATACATTTAATTCAAATCATACTTTGTTGTTGGACGCAAACGATTAAAGAAATTAGTTACTTTTAACTCTCAGAAATAGTCAAAGATGGTGACAAATCTTAAATTAGTCAAACTTTAACTATTTACGTAGTAAAAAATAACTATTTAAAAGTGAAAACGACTATTTTATTAGTAAAAAATGCTGGTACTAATTCAAATAGTAGAATTTTGACTTTTTCATTTTTAGAGAGATGAAATAAAAATATTTTTGTTTAACCTAATTTATAAAAGCAAGTGGTAATCATGTTATTTAATGGCTGCTAAATTATTTTTTTGAATATTTGCTTGGGATAAAATTAAACATCAGGCTCTTTTTAAGTGGGTTTTGATTAAATATTTTATGTGGAAGGGTTGTTTTTAACATCGTTAATACAAATAAAATTTCTAATTTAATTTACAGGACTCACTTTTATACGTTTAAATCTGAAATTAATAAAATTTCAGTGGCTGTGGTGGTGGCATTTTTCATTTGTTGGGCGCCATTTCATGCTCAACGTTTGCTGGCTATCTACGGAAAGCACACGTCCGCCAGGATGATCAAGGCATTCCAGATTCTCACCTATATCAGCGGCGTTTTCTACTATCTATCAACTACTGTCAATCCTCTGCTTTATCACATCATGTCTCATAAATTTAGAGAAGCATTTAAGGTAAGGATTTATAATAATATTACAAATCTTCTGTTCTTTATTTAAATTATAATTATTAATAAAACTTTGTTGTTTAATATTTAAATAAACTAGTCAACAGCAACTTTGCCACATGGTGGCCAACTACTTTTCTAATGTCAATTGGGTGCGCTGATTTTAAAAATGACCTTAATTGTTCTTAATTAGCTCCTGTTTTTAGGATATTGCAAAAAAATGTTTTCGGCATGTACATTAAAATTCGTATACAAATTTTGTTAAACCAAATAAAATATATACGCATTCATATAGTTCCTGTTTTTATTAAAGTAAACAGACATTTTTTAAACAAAATTGGACGTAAAAATTTAAGCCCAAGGGAAAATAATTACCGTACTTAAACATTTTAATACGCGCGGTTGTTTTGATTTCCATTTTGCCATTTTAATTTGATTGCTGAAATTGGAAATAATTGGATGGAGCTAAACTATTTTGTAAATTTCATTCAAATTGCACATAAATTATTAGTGTTACAGCAAAATTGTCCAATTTTGGCTAAAAAACGATTTTATTTAGAAAAAAAACATGATTTTTTAAGGGAAAAACTCTATAAATGTGTATAATGTATTGTTTTAGTTTATTATCCCAAAAACAAGGGCTAAGTAGAATCAGCGCACCAAAATTAGAAAAGTTATTGGCCATCCTGTGGCAAACACAACATTTCATTTTGTAGACCACTGTTATACTAGGTCCTAGTGGTGTGTTGCACTAGGTCCAATAGGTTATTATAAAAAAGTATAGACCCTTTGTTTATAAAGTGTCCCTAATAAAAAGTAATTGATAAAGTATTCTTTACAACAAAAACTAGAAACGTTTTCTTTTTAAGTAATTTGGGTGCGCTAAACACAAAAAACATACTAATTTTTTTTTCATTTGGGCCTTTTACCTAGGTAACGGTATATTTGTGTTTTTAATGTATTATTTTACTTAACCAGCGACTCAAGTAAAAAGCAAACCTGATCAAGATAAAAACGTAAATACGTAACATATTCTTAAAAACGTGATCGTATAAAAAATGGCCGAGTTGCAGAAATTTCATGCAATTTTGGATCATTTTCAGCCATTTTCGTCATTTGAGTAATTTTTACGACAACAAATAATTGCAATATTGTAAGTTTACATTTTTAATTGATAGTTAATTTAATTGTAAAAAAAATAGGCCCAAGATCAAGAATGGAATAAAAAAAAAAATTTATGATACAAATAAGAAAAAACACTTAAATTAACTGCCAAATCTTAATATATTTCATTTATATAAACTGTGTAAAGTAAATGAGCTTTTACTTTTACGTTTTTTGTCGGTCGGATCTTCAGGTATTATGAACCGGCAATAGTCAGCCATTCATTTGCTCGTCCTAGAAGCATTGATATCTTCTTTCTATTTCAGGATGTTTTTCGGCAACTTTTTTTTACGAAATTTGTAAATAATTCAAGCTTTATATGTAGTGGGGGAATAACTATCTTATCTTTGGCGATAAAGGAAGCATTTTTATCCTCCAGGCGTGTGTTCTGCTTCAGCCATACATGTTGATTATAGTGGTTATAACGAATGGTTCTATCCTATAAACGAAGAATAGAGAAAATATAGAGAAAAAAAATTGGCGAAAATTTTCCAACCGTGTTGATTCTAATTGATGAGGTTGAGAAGTTACTCCATTGATTCATAGTTTTTGCATATCCAATTGGGATTGATGGTTTCGTGTTGATTTTATAAAGCAAAACCGCCTAAAAACTGTCCTTGCCTCCAGCAGTAAAAAGACGCCATTTTAATGAGTCATATGTTTTTTTTTGAGTGCATTAAACTATAAAAGTAAAAATTAACAATTAGTTCAAACATATTGATTGCACATGATTTTTAAAGCTAGACATAGAACAATTAAACAAATTTAAACCATATTGACTAGCCAAGTTACCTATTCTATCAATATAAGTTTTCTGGCCATAATTAGTACGGTGTGGTAAAGTATAAAATAAGTTTAAATGTCTATTAGCATACTGGGGAATGTGTAAATTTAAAAAAGATAAAAGTTCAGGACAATCTATATTATAGTTAAAATTTTTAAAAAGTAACATTAAATCATAAATATTTCTAGGAGTATTTAGAACCTTTACATTAACAATATTACAAAGATCAGTATAACTAACTTGGTCAAGATTTATATTTAGTTTATATGCACAGAAACAAATAACCTTTTTCTGTACCCTTTCAATTTGTTGTTTGTGGCATTCAAATTGAGGTGACCAAACTATGCTGAACTATTCCAATATGGACCACACAAACGATACATATACAGATATAATACAATAAATTACACTATTAAAATCTGACAAAGTTCGTTTCATAAAACCTAAAAATCTTAGGTAATTCGCATACTGTATGAGTATAAGTATGGGGACGTATGGCAGGCCCCATCGGCATTTCCTTACACTAATCTCACAGGGTTATTTTACCCCCTTTCCGTTCTCCTTCGTATCCCGCCACTGCACAGCTTTACCTGTGTTTGTTGGATCCGAAATTTTTACGCCGGCTGGTAGATCTACCCTAGGAGTTCGTGGATGACAGTATCGATGGTCGGATTTTTGTCGCCGGGTCGGGCCATAGCTAGAACCTGTCCTTGTTGGTGTATTTCTGAACGTCTCTGTCTGAGTCAGTTTCCGGTTCCTGGTAACCTCTTTAGAATTGTTTGCCTTCCTGTGAGATACTGAGTCTTTATTACCGAAGTGTTGACGGCCACGACCCGCCGTAAGTGCCCTCTTCCTAGGTGGATATTCCTACCGACCTTGTATATTCTTTATTTATTTTATTGTTAAATTTATGTTTATACCGTTTACATTTAATCTTTGCATTCTTACTTTTTTTTCAAATTTAATTTAAAAATATAAATATTAATATACAAAATAGATAAAGCCGTCCCTGAAGTGTAAGTAATTGGAGTACGGCCCTATGGCAGGCATTGCCTATAGAGAACTTTTACTTTTACTTTTTAGGCTTTCGTTTATTTTAAGCCTTGATTTATGGGCTGCTATGTTAGTTAATGCCTATATTTAAATGCATATACATACAATATTATATATCTATTAAACACACACAACACTTGTTTATAAAATCTAAATTTTGTGTCATTTCTGCTTGATTTAGTTTATTTACTTTTACGCCTTTTTCTATTTGGTTAAGTTGTTTATGGGTTGTCTACTTATTTTTAATTAAAAATTATGTTTTTGAAACAAATGAAAAGAAATCTTAAACAAACAATCAGAGGTTGTTATACAAGAGTGCTTATATTAGAGAATTTTCATTAATTTACTGTCTGAACTGCATTAATTGAAATCTTTGTACATTTTTGTAGTAATAAAAATGTAAATTCAAAACTGTACGAGTTTAATGTAAAGACTGTAGGTAACATTCGAGACTTTTAAATAAACAGTTATGCGCATTGGTCGTCTTAAATGTGCAAAAACTGTTCAGTTAATAATTAAAACTTGAAATAGTTTACTTTTCTCAGTGTAGGGACCTGTTTGATTTCTGATGCCATTTTTGGTAACATTGCGAAGTTTGCGTATATAAATATTAAACTATTAGTTTATAGATTATAATCGAATTTGTACTGTTATTAGGTCATGCAATTAGGAAAATTACTTAGCTGGACTAATTAGACTTGAATTCTGTTCCCTAGCGGACAGTCCGTGTTCTTGGCAATCGCCGATTGTGGTGACTATACAGGTAGTCAGGTGGTATCGGTGTGACCTAACCTTAATCACTCACTCTCTCACAAACTTTTACGACGTTATAGCACTTTGTGACTTAACCGGGGGCCACCCGCACTTTTCAAACTTATTATTATTTATTTTTTCTTGTCTGTTTAATGTTTATTTTTTGTTTTCCGTTTTACTGATTTTGATTCACTTGCCTCTGATAACTTGCCGGTACTTGCGTTTGTATCGTTTACACTCCTTCGTTCTCGACCAACCTATCACTTCAAGTGTTAGGACGAGACTGATTCGGCAGAGATACTGTATGCATAAAAAATTATATGTATGTATAAAAAAATTTGTATTCTGTAAAAATGAATAACTTTACATTTTCCAGTATTTAAATTCATGTAATTAGTATCAAACCACTTTTTTAATACATTTAAATTAGGTTGTATATCACAGCATGCTGTTTTAATAACATCATATAAAGAGGTTAAGACTGTTAATGATTGCAATCATGAACAGTATTTTAATCATCATATAAAGAGGTTATAACCTCTTTATATGATGATATTAAAACAGAAGCAGAAATAAGTTCATTTAGCAAAAATTGAGCAAAATTTTTGCTACGGTTACGATAATATGTCACTTCAGTCCCAGGAGATATTATTATTTTTATACCCGTGATGCAAGAATTTTATTTCGTCAAATAAAGGACGCGGAACAAATAATTTAGTTTACTCTGACTCAATAAATGCATTTTCCCCTTTTCTGCTTCACTGGTATCGCTCCATAAACTATTTTATAATAATAATAATAAACTTATTCACATGAAAAAAAAACAATATATAAATTGGAAATAGCAAATACAATATTCATTAGTAAATAAACTAACAAACCCTTTAAGTAAACTTGTCTGGGGTTAATAAAAGTTAGATATACAAAAAGTTGGTAAATTCAAATATAAAATACAAATTTAAAAATATAATAATCCATACATACAGGGTGTTATGTAATTAATGTTATATATTAAAATACTGAATACCTTTTGACATAAGGTGTAATGAAAAAATATTTTAAAAGATATTTTTCCAAAGATAAAGAAAATATATGCATTACAAGTTTTTTTTATTTTTTGTGATACGCCACTGGTTACACACTTGTGTTCTGTGAGTACATAGATACAAACCAACAAGGTAGCTGCAATGATAAGAAAAATTAGTACCTATTTAAAAACTCCATAAAATTAATGTTTTCATCGGTTTTTTTCT